TTGTTTGCCAGGCAACAATAAAACCTAAGTCATCTGAGAAGTTCATATAGGCTTTCACATTGTGAATAAAGAGAGAGAGAGAGAAATGGGGTTTAACGTCCACTCAACACAAACTAGGTCATTTCGTGACTAACATATGGTTTTAATTTTTATTTCAATAATTCGCTTGCGTGTAGGGGTCTTTAGCAGTGGGAAGAAACTGGAGGACCCGGAGAAAACCCACGAGGTTGGACAGTCGACCCTACTCCTTGTTAGTACAACCGGGGATTCGAAACCACGCCAGTTGACTCAATGACAGACTTTATGATACAGCGTGCACACGCTAACCATTCAACCATCCAACCCCCCCATTGTGAATAAAATAAAATGTATAATATCATCAGTGTGTTGACAAGAATATATGGTATCATCAAGGGCAATAACTCTATAAGTAGTAATCTGAAATTATTCTGATTTTTATTCATCATAATAATCGAAAGAAAGAACATAAATTTAAAGTAGATCACATGATGCCTTTTGCTGTTAGAGCATTCACAAGTTCAGCAAAGTGAGCAAGGGCCATAACTCTTTAAGTTTATATCAAAAATTAGTAAAATTAGACACTTATATCTCATTAATGTAATCAGGAAATCAAGACAAAGAGCGAATGTTGGAGATTATTACACTGCTCTTTGATTACAAGACAAACGTAAGTGTCTATTAGACAAACACTATTAGTTCAATAATTTGATTATCTATTTACCGGTAATTACATCTTACCATCAATCCAATTCTAATAAAAATCTATATATTTTTATTACACAGTCATACTTTCTGAAAAAATTTTCAAATTATTATTTTATTTTCATTCAAGAAACCAAGACAGAATCTAGAGAACTAGACAAGCATTAGATCTAAAAATTATGTTAGTGCTGAAGATCTACAGTATTTTCAGAGTTCCACATTTTTGTTAACATTATATAAATATTGATTTATAGGATAATGAAACGAAATGAAATGGGGTTTAATGTCCTACTGTTCTGCTCCAACTGGGCTAATGAAATCAGGATTTAGGATAAAGAAAACTTTTAAAAGATCAACAGATGTCAATTCATTTGTCCTAATGAAATCATGTGAAGCACAGAATTATAGACGATAACACACGTTCCTTAGTTTTTACATCTTTATGTCAGATGAAGGTGGATTTCCGATCATCGTGATAAAAGAAAATCTACAATTTTTTTTATACAAGCTGCTTCTATAGATTTGAAAAAAAAACCTGATACATACATATATACACAGTTATAATGATTCATCTTTCTTTTATACAACATAAAAGAAGTTCATAGAAAAAAATTAAAATCATAGCTGTAAGATTTTTTAGTTTTTATAATAATATTTTATTAAAAAGGAACAGAACAAACACATACTAAAAGTCAGATCTAAGATCTACTTGCAGAAATTTGGATTATAACATGTTCTTCTTAATCACTCAAAATGTTTTCTCTTTAAACATATTTTCGCGGTGTCTGTGATTCTCCTAAAATCAGTACATGACATTTCTTCGTTTTAATACTATAATAGTACTACACACATACTAAAAGTCAGATCTTAGATCTACTTGCAGAAATTTGGATTATAACATGTTCTTCTTAATCACTCAAATCGTTTTCTCTAAACATATTTCCGCAGTGTCTGTGATTCTCCTAAAATCAGCACATGACATTTCTTCGTTTCGTTGTGAATTTCCCAGTATTTCTAATTTTTACAGCAGAAATTTTGTCTTAAATATTTGATATCAGAAGCCTATCAGCGGTGATTTAAATTGACCAATAAGTCGTGTTTGCAATGTCGAAGACTATGGATGATATGAAGTTAGAGACTAGCCTACTTTAAGTCAATATTAAAGGGGTGAGAGAATAAGCTTTTTGAGGTTAAATACCCCAATTAACAGCATTATCTTAGTTGATTAAGTGCATTATTATGTGTTTTGGTAAGAGAAAGGGAGCACCGGATGGGATAATAAACTATGTATGTATTTAAGATTTTGAAATGGACCTGCTGGAAGAAATATGCTATGAAACATTACAGTTATAGGCATATATATAATATAATATAGTAGATTGCCAAACAAAAAACCTTCAAGCAATTCACCCACCCCAAATGTCATACTTATATTGAGTGAAGATATAATGGCAGACGTACATCCTGGTATTTACTACAACACCTGCTATTCTTTTAATACTATATAGTACTACACACAATAATACTATTCTTATTTCTAGTAAATATTTCTCCTAAACATTTCATTCATAAAATGAGTACAGTTTTATTCATGTGGTTGAGAAAACACATTGATTTAGAGCCATGAAACCAGAGACCATCGGAAGTACATGATCTCACATTGGCACCAAAAACTAAAGTCTATGCCTGGAAGCTTGACCCAAGGAAAAGGAATAACATATACTCATATACATCATCAAGTTACCTTTTCCACATCATCACCCCATCAAATGTATAAAAAAGAAATTACTTGAAAGACTGGTTTTAAATTGAAACCCAAGATAATTAAGAAATTACATGACCTCAGGGATGTTGAAGATTTAGATGGACAAAAGCCACATGGCAAAGTTTAAAGAACAAGGAAGCAGTTCAAGTTATTTCAAACAATTTTACTATGTTTATAAATAGATAATATGCTTTCTCGGCTTTTTATCTTTTAAAATCATTGTTGTACTTTTTATTATGATGATTTATCTGTAATGATTTTTATTCTGTTGGGGGGGGGGCGGGCGAATGGTTAGTGGGTGCACCTTGTATCATTAGGTCATTGAGTCAACTAGTGTGGTTTTGATTCCCCGCTTGTATGTGAGAAAGAGAAAGAGTAGGGTCGCCTGTCCATCCTTGAGAGTTTTCTCCAGGTCCTCTGATTTCCTCCCACTGCTAAAGACCCCTATGAGCAAGCGAATTAATGAAATAAAATTTAACCATATGTTAGTACCAAAATGACCTGGTGTCCAGTGGACGTTAAACCCCACCATTTCTCCCTTTTCTCTCATTTATTCTGTTAATCCTATTGATTTTGTTGCAAAATTTTAATTAATTTATTTTCCTTGAGTTTAAATATAAGATATATAATAGCATGTGAGTGCTGTAAAGTGTGAGAATACCTAAAAGGTGTGAAAACACCCTAAAAAGAGTGAGAAAGCCCTGAAAAGTGTGAGAAATAATGAGAATCCCCTGAAAGATGTGAGAACCCCCCCCCCCCCGAAAAATACCCCCATGAGTAATTTTGCTAGTATTTTTAATTAGTAATAATGAAATATTTCAAAAATATAGATCAATGAAAAAATATTTAAAATAAGACTAAAAAGTTTAACAAAATGTTTTCAAATACAATAATTAGTGATAGAACCAGGAATGTACAGTCAGGGGTCGGGGTATTCAAGTAAATTTTCAAAATTGCACAATCTGGCTACATTAAAATACAAGCATTATTGTGATAAAAGTATAAAGTTATTATTATGATATCTACATGTATGTCAATCAAATGTTATATAATTATCAGAATATTATGATATCCTGTCACTAATGACATATATAATGTCACAATGAATATATACATAGTAAAAGAGGATATGGGCGTTACCTAAAGAAAATAATCACATCTAATAAAGAAACTAATTTTGGCTAATGAAACTTATTTGTCGTTTTTATCATTTACATACGCGGTACTTGAAAACAAAATATATATATGTGGGAGTTTTATATGCACATGACTTGTAACCCATTGATTTTACCCAAGGCTACCCAGAGAAGAATTTTTGTGTTGAGGGACATTTAATCTATAGTGATTCCCTCAAAGCTAGCCATATCCACACCTCCCCGCCCCCTTTCTGATCGATGCTAAGAGCCTATGGAGTGCTTTCACAAGCTTTATATGGAATCCCACTTGTGATTAACTGATTAACATGCTATCCCATTTAGTTAGAGGTGTCAGTAAAAGTGAACTTTAACAGATTAAGGGCAGCACAAGCCCTCAAAAGGGCAATATGAAACAGTTTTCAAAAAACAGTAACTCAGATTTAAATGTGTTGAAAGTTGATCTTAATAGGCTTAATTTTATAATCATGATCTTGTATTTTGCCTTTGCTGGAAATTTGTGAAAATTCCTGTGGGTAGTCGGACCCTGGTTCCAACACCACCCCCAACCCCAGTTACTGGATTATCTTGGTGTACCACCACTATTCATTATTTTCATGGTGAGGGATATTTGATCTACAGATTAGTCATTGAGTTCTGCATATTCCTTAAGCAATGGTAATGAGCTAATTAAACAGTGCTAGACTATAGTAATTATGTTTCTATTGGGTTGATAGTCAAAATAGTTAATACTGACTCTGGGGTTTTCAATAATTTGTATACCACAAAAATCTTAATGTTCTACACACCTACTATAAAACCATTGTTCAGCTATAAGAATTTAGGTGTGTAACATAATGATAATACAGTAATAACCTGTTGTATATGTCTCAACACAGGTATTATATTATGATTAATTATTAAGGGCTGTGTAAAATTTTAGGAATTTAAAAAGATTATGCAAATGAACAAGGTAGGTAAAAACAATGCATTATGAGTAACCTTTCATTTCCACCTTCATGTTAGTGGTTTATGCACCTCAAATGCTCAATTACAAAGATTCCTGCTGAGGCCCATATATAGTCCCATTAACAAATATTCTGACATGATCTCCAAGCATTGTCTTTATAGTTTATATCATTGCTTTCTATGTCAATCCCATTCCAAAAGAATGGTAAAAACTGCCATTGTATTATCCACGGTTATAAATAGATTACATAACTTGTAAAGCCGATATCAGAAAAAAATACTCCCAGTCTAAAGTAAATATTAGCACTGTGTGTTACAGAGTATTGACCAGTTTTTCTTGTTGGTGCGTGAATCAAATTATCTATATAGACCTAGATATTCCTGTTAATAAAACTATATCTTTTACTTACCCGTGATTATATGGTAGAGTACCGGTACATAAGCTAGTATATCCATACGCTTTGATATATTCATGCTGACAGCTTCGACATGTAAACATAGACTGCCTGATTCGATCCACGCCGCTTATTAAATGACTATACTATACTGTACAGTAGGCTATTTGTGCAATAAAGGCGGAAATGGTCGGACAAGCGCGAAGGAATGATTCAGAGATACCGTATGGCGTATGGACTGAACCATTCTAGTCAGGGTTCATGGCTTTCGTCAAATAATTAATAAGCACATCACTGATATATTAAATGATCTGAAAGTTGACTGGCTAAGTAAATTATAACTTGCGCCAATGCAACGTTTCATACATTGTAAACAAATTCCTAGCGTGGAAGGACTTTGCCGCCAAATTTGATCACGTGTCCACGAACACGTGGAACACATCTTACACTTGTCTTAGTACAATATCACTGCATAAATATTACCGACGCTGGCACTCTTTGGTGTTAACTAGCTTTTTTTCTAAATTTAATTTGAATAATATAATTGTTTTTTTTTGTTGCAAATTCACATATATAACTAGTGTAGGCACTATATGTGTAGGACTGCATACAAGAATTTACAAATCTTCTCCCAATGTCTCCAACTCAGATCATTTGGGTGATCGGCAAGACGTAGGCTTATTAAGCTAGTAGAACACAATGAACACTTCTCCGATTGAATAATTAAGACGGAATTAAAACGAATAGTTTTGAAGAGAGATAACAACTATATTTTTTTTTTCACAATGAAATCAGTTTATACATTCCAAACATTGTAGGCTGTATTCTGTGGGGTGGGGTGGGGGAATAAGGGGAAGAAAGCCTAGCCTTTCGGTTGAAAAGTTGAAACAAAATCCGAATTCAATCGATTGGCGTGAGTGGAGTTGAATTAATATGAGATTTTATAGGTCTAATCAAATTATTAGATACTATAGACCCATTTCGGTTTTAGATATTTCAGTTTTATTCTACCAGTCGATTAATGAATTTTTACCGTTTTGTTAAACTTATCAATGCTAAAATACGAGAACCTATACTTTATCACAAAGATAAACGATAATACTAACTGCTAAGTATTAAACAGGCATTATGTATATATAAGAGCTAAATCTGCCTAATGCAAGTCTTTCTTTGGGCTTTAAATGTTATATGAATTATTAATTAGACATTATTTTATTAACATGACAAGACCATAATTAACCATGGATGCCATCGGTTGGCTTGGATTTTAAATAGATTAGAACGGTTAGGCCATTTAATGATTTAATTTAAAAATGGAGAAGCGAGGCTAAGATTCGAATCACCAGTACGGTGGTTATGATCAGTGTACACATCTTGTCAAAACTACAACTATTGATAACTTTGCTCAAATTAAAGTAATTTGAATTAAATTTTCAATACATGTATATTGATTTTGCAGTACCTATTTTTGAAATATTATAGCTAGAACGGCCCTCTCTTTATCTAAATCTTACATAATGCCTCTTTCATTTTGCAAAATCTATTTTTGAAATATCTTTATCTTACCACTTTAATAGATGAACTAATTAGATCTAGAGGCGTGTCTAGCTGTTACACACTAAGTGACAAGTTGGTGCGCACCCTAAATGACCCTATGATAAGTTAACACGGGTTTCTTTATATAACGGACGCATCGTCATTATTACAGTTTAATAAAATCACCGTACCATGATGCGATGATTCATTGTGTCAAAAACTTACAAGTGTGGGCCAACGCGTTCTAATATGACACGACGGTGTATAACAGTAATCCAATAAAATAAGTCCATATTTGGAAAAACGTTCATTAATAATTAATTCATATTTAAACAGCAATCGACTAAACCCAGTAGACCTATAGTAATATTATTACAGATGCTTTTGTTTACATTTAGATCAATATATGATAACATAGATAGTGTACGGGATTGGGAATATCAATAAGATACTTTTCTTTGAAATGAAAGATTGAAAAAAAAACCAGGGGAACATATTCTTCATTAGTTCTTTCTACATCCTTGGCTGTAAATGTTTTTAGTTATAAAAACCCAATACGACCCAAAAGACGCACTAGAAAAGGTTCATGCCTTCATTTATTGATAATTTATATATGTCCCCTTCTCATATTCCAGATACAAGAGTAAATTGATTTTTTGTATGGAAGACCAAACAGCTCTTTATTTAGAGTTTTTAATTCTTAGTTCCCAATATTTATTCTTATCTCTTCCTTTGTCATACACCGACATTTGTATGCTAAATTTAACATTTGTATCTTAAAATCAATATTTGTTTTACAAATCACACATTTTTATTTTAACTGCTGATTGATTGACAAGATATGTCGGTTCTCAATAGAAATGACTGTGTTAAATATCACGTGTTATTAAATGTATTAAAATGAGCCTTCTTTGTGCGGGTTAAAGTCGGTTTTGGCCAATAAGAAAGTTCCTTGTTTTCCGCCTGTCAGTGGTGCAGCAGGGCGCAGGGTCTGACAAGGAACAGCGTATCCTAGTCATTCGGGTGGGATGAACTTTATCAGCCAACACCGGGATCGAACCCGCGACCTCCATGCTAACGAGACAGCGTTTTACTCACTTATAGCCACAGTGGCTTCTATATAAATGGTTCCAAACTTCCACTTGATGTCTTCCGTCTTGCTCCAGTTGCACAGTAGTGGATCGTTCTAAGGGCTTCTTTTGAGCAGGTTTTGTCACCATTTGATGACAAAAAGGTCACTATGGCCTATACTATAATTCCCTTAATTTCCAATTAAACTGACCCTAAACTGCAATCTGTTGCACAGAGAATTACGAGTCTCGTATAATATCTCTGTCATAGATGACTGCCTTAACACGTGCTGTCACAGCACGCGGTGTGAATCATTGGCTGAATGGCGCGTGCATCGTTTACATAAGACATAACTGCTTCGGAGAGAATGCTGCATTTTAGTCATTTTAATACCCATTTACACTAGATCGGAAATAATTTTTAACTACAAATACGTCAAACGCCTTTATTTATTTTTCCAATATATACAAAAAATGTTTTAGAATTTAATTTGTCGCAGGAAAAAAGTTAATATTTCTAGCTCATTAAGCCGCATCAATGTCATCCTTATCAGTGATTGTCGCGGCCAAGCAAATATTCACTGCGGATCAGTGTGCCTAAACTGTAGTGCACATAGTTTAAAGATACATTATGGGAGATTAGATAAAGAGCTGACAGTCCTTACTATAATAGTTAGAAACTAGATAATGTAAAGGCAATTTGCTGAAAATTTCAGTCAAATTGGTCCACTCTGAACCGAGATTTTAGCGATTGAATTTTCGGCCTGGCCTCGATCATCATTACTAAAGTCGGTACGATAAAAACATTGTCTCGATTATCCATTCCACGATCAAATCATGAATGCAAGTCGAACAGCAAATCGGAACCTTATCCAATAAACACCACAGACTAGCGAAGACAGCGAGTTGATTATATAATGTATAATTAATAATTTAGATAACATTTCAGGCCTACAGATTTAGCTCTTGAATAATATATGTTTAACATATAATAAACCAATTCCCATTGAAATAAATCTGAAACCTTACCGCATTATATGATTTGATGAAATCCAACTGCTACGGAAGTATCTGTCCATTATAAAACGGCCGCCGAACCAGAATTAGAACACGCGGGTGATTTCATGTCATCCCGAAAATATGTTCCTCTCTTCCCCATTTTTAACATAATTACTTATTTCCAATCAAACTGTGATGATATATGTTATATTCTATGAATGGCATTTAGTAATTGGAACATAATCAAAAACACACTTTTATGGATAACAATTACTATGGTTTATTTCACGTCGCAGTGAAATAAACCATAGTAATTGTTATCCATAAAAGTGTGTTTTTGATGATATATGTTGAAAATTTTGCAACTGAAACTATTTTAACTTGCGCAAGGCCTCGAAAAGTGTATCAATTATAGCCTGAAACAAGACAGGACGCGGTCCAATATTTCAGGCGTGGTTTCCTGTCAGAATAGAGAATAGCGGCGACGAACCCTTTCTCGAGAAAATGTCCCCTTCTATGCATCTGTGTAGAGATTGTTCGATCGACTAATTCCCTGATGATGTTAGAAAAACTGATAATATTTTTGGTAAAATGAATATCATTTCCTTTAATTTTGTCCAAATTTAATAATGAAGAAAATTGAAAAGAAAATAATCGAAGGAACTTTTAAGTTAAAATTACGTAATAACAACAGTCTTTACATTGAAAAAACAAAAAAAAATTGGGGGCCTGGACGATCTGCAATTTCCCTTTGATCAAAATTCCGCCAACACTGTTGCAGAACATTAATCGTCATAGCGTTGATGACGTCATTAGCGGTAACTCTGGGAATATTGAGAAAATACACGGAATGATATCTGTGCATCGTTCTGATTTACTGAGATGTGCACGCTGTACTTCGGGGTTTCCGTTAACAGATATTGTAAGGTGTAAAATGTCAATCATGGGTATGTAAAATACGTGTACGTAAAATTTTAATAAGACTTTTTATTTCAACTAATTTAGGCTTAGTGGACAATTATGCATGCGTTAGGCCGGTCGTTAGGCTAGGCCTAAACGCATAGTCATCGACATAGGCTAGCTTATATATAGCCTAAGCCCATTAGTATTACTTTTTAAACTTTATTTATTTATTTAGTTTTGTTTGCAGGGGAAAGTTTATGCCCAGCTTGTCATGAAAGGGCACACCCGTCTTGTCGCAGTGTGCATACATTGGTTAGAGAAGAAGATATGAAATGTTTGGTTTGTTTGAAGTCCTCGGCTTCCATTGTTTGCCCAGCATGTCCTTCTATAAATGGTAGGTAACGAACCTATAGACCACTACTGTGCGAAATTATGCTGACATGGCCTTCAAAATCATCAGTAATTCTTGATTGAGGGGGAACTTAGATGTTCTTTGCGGGTGTGCAACTTTGTGTTAACGAATTTAAATGAAAATAAAACACAGACCAAACATCCAGGGTCGAAAATTGTTTTTAAGGTGCCTCTAGCAACAACAACACGCTTTGAAAAAGTCTGAAAAGGCACCACATACAATAAAGCATCCGCATCATTAAAACAAATTAACTGACAGCAGAGGAACGACGGCCTCTGCTTATGTCCAGTTTTTTTAAACCAGCGGTTGCCAGGCACAATACGCCAACAGTTTGGAAGAGATGGATAGAGTACAACTTAGTATAAGCTAAAAAACAAAAACGCGATTTTTCGTACAATCAGCGCCCATAATCCAGGAAGGTATGGTCTGAAAAGTGCG